GTATAGTAGTCTAGTTTTAAAACAGAAAAAAAACTGGATTTTTAAATCAAGATAATTGATTTTGCCACGATCAAAGTCGGTTTTTTTATGAAACACAAATTTTTGTACTGCCGTATCACAACAAACACAATACGTCATCATCATATCAGCCGTTATTTATTTATTACCGCACATAGGCCTTCCAGCAAGGAACGTAAATAAACACAATATATATCTAATAGAAAATAGGTGTAAAGAAGTATAAAATATAAATACTTTTTAAATGACTTCTATAAACGCGAGGTTCTGCTGCTTTTTTATATCTTATGCAATATCTTTATCAATTTTAAATTGAGTTTGCTAATTATTCTTGTAATCAACGATCGAATAACTCTTATTTTAGTTTTAAACTAATTTTGTGATCATGGAATGAATAAGTAAAATGAAATAAGTATAATTTAGTAAGGAGTAAAAGGACGCAAGATATAAGCTATAAGTCGGATTGTTGTACTTAAACCAGTGTATGTCACTACAAGTAGACTTATTGCTAATTCATTTTAATTAGCCATTATTGCAGTTTAGTTGCAATCTCATTTTGGTCTTACATTATTTTGATTTTATTTTATTTTATTTTATACTATTTTCTTTTTTAAAACTTTTAATGTGTCATATATAAAATAAAAAAAAGCATTTAAATCAATTTCACAATTCCAAAACACTTTGGAATGTTGAAATATTTCTAGTTATTTCATTTGTGAAATTAGATAAATGACTTTGAGTTATCTAAATTTTAAATTTGTGAGCAGATTTCTTAGTTTGCTCTTTTACTAATTCAGCAAAGTCTCTTATCAGAAATGTCGCATAACTTGTAAAATAATTTCTTAGTTTTCTTCTTTATATGCGTTCAGAACAATCAGAACTATTTTTTCTGTTATATAAAATGTTATTTTCAAGATAATCTTGGATTAATCGTTGAAAGATACGTCTACCACTAAAGCGGTCTCTATAAAATTTTCCTTGAACGTACAATCAGTCTGTATTTCTACATCTACTAATATTGTTTAATTACGGTAATTGAAGAAATATATATCATCATAATTTCGGCTATTATCCGTTCATTGCTAGACATAGGATTCCCCCATAGACTGTCATAAGGAACGGTCCTGAGCCACCTGTAACCACTGACTGTCTGCAATGCATTTGGGGTCGTCACTTCATCTAGTGGAGGGGGTCGTCCTACACTGCGTTTGCCCGTACGGGGACGCCACTCAAAAATCTTTCTTTCTCATTGGTTGTCGGTTGTTTGAGCTATGTGACCAGCCTACTTGCCACTTCAGCTTGCTTATCCTTCAAGCTATGTCGTTTACTTCGTTCTTTTGCGGATATCCTCGTTTCGGAATCTATCAGGCAAAGAGACTCCGAGCATAACCCTCTCTATGGCCTGCTGAGTAATTTAAAGCTTTTGCATACGGACAATAGTGTAGGACCATGTTTCGGTTCCATAAGTCATCATTGGCAACATATCAATGCGAAAGAAAAACCAAGGACCTTTTTCTTCAAACTCCGAGGTATTTTGGATGAAAAGATATGGCGTAGTTTTCCGAACACTGCCTAGCCGATTTTTCTGTGTAGTTACCGGCAAAATATTCCGATCGCTGAAATGTTCTTCATAAACGATGTAGACTGAAGGCGATTTTTTAACTAAATTCTTCACAATTTATCAATTCATTTCCGTTTCAATTGTCTTTTTCATAATTAAATTTATATTACTACGTTAAATGGAATCAAGATTATGAGCAGACAAAGATTATACAGCATATTCTTTCTTAAATTCATAATATTTACCTTTCAGCGTCATTGGGTAGTTAAAAAATATATTCTCGATTTTGTTACATTTTTACACATCCGTAAACGGAACAATATGAGACATTTTGTGACATTTGATTATAATAATAATAAACTAAATGGAAATGTATGTGTAAGCTAAAACTAAAGATCGCAGTATGATACTCGGGATTGTTTTCCATCGAACTACGCTTTGCGGTTAACGTTTGTTAACGACATACTTTGCGGATTGCTTTCGTGATATGTATTTACAAATACTTTTTCGTGTCAACAATCAATTTGTGTGGTATTGTGCCGAAGAAACAATTTATTGAAGCAATAAATTTAAGCGAGGGAAACTATGTATAAAAGCCGTCTTTTCCATTCATGTTTCTGAAGAGAACAGCGAAGAGCTTCGATTCAGATTGGAAGGAAGGCTGAGTCCTCAGAAATGGTATGAGTTTCGCGAGGATAGCATCATACTTCGTGATGTATTTTGCACTGTTCATGTTTATAGGGGAAAGTTACTACTTTTGGTGGAAAAAAACACGAATGAGTCACAAATAATCGATATCACTGCTATTACATTAACATGAAAAAGGATAATATCATACAAGATAATCATATGAGAATACGCGGCTATGACGCGTAACACTCTAGCAGTATCACCAAATAAAGTACAATTAACTAATAGTGTTATTATGTTTTAGTGTAGATTATTTTACCTGGTTTGTACGGTTGCATGTTTTTTGCATATCCAGGACCTTTTTAGGCGAGTTTTCTAATGTGGTCGCACTTTCTTCGTCTTTATCAGTGTCTATTAGCAGTTTTGTTCTCGCTCACTCATATCTCCCTTTTAGTTTTTTGTTTGTTTCATTTATACAAACCATTGATTCTTAATTTCCTCAGTCAATTTGATATTAAATTTGTTAAAGTTAAAATAGCGATTTTTATTTATTTATTACTACGCGAAATCTTCAGTTATTATACTTAAGACTAAGTACTTATACCTACTACTAGATGGAACTTTTTTATTTACGTATCTACTTTTAAAATCTTCATCATTGTATACGTATAACGTAATGCGTATAAAAAATAACTGAAATCGCAATAAGCGGGTGAGATATAGAAGAGGTTGTTCTTTCATTATTCTTGCCTGCTTGGAGCAGAAAATATTGTCATTTTTTGTAACGGGTATATATTGTAGAGGATCGAGAGCTAAACAATTTTTTTCACTTCATTGGCTTTTTGTTGTTAAACTGCAAGACGTTAGAAAACATAAAGTAAAAATAAATATGTATTAATTTGTATCATTTGTGTTAATTTCATTTTAAGCCGTACGTCAAGCTTTATCGAGTTTTCCAAATTTTTCATAATATTTTGGGGGCGTTCATTAATTACGTAATCTTAAAATAGCGAGGCAGGATAACGGAGGTGAAGGTGACAGGCAAAATATATTTTTAAGGTAAAGAAAATATTCGGCGACTTTTTGTTCTTTTTTTTTATATCACTGAAATGGGGAAATGAAGCAACATTACCATAAATAAATTAATTATAAAGTAGATTTCTCACCGAAAATTTTCATATAAATTGCAGCGAAATGGGACAAGTTAAAAGTACTTACTCGTAACCGGCGAGTTTGAATGAATGCTCAATGTGGAAGCGAAAGAGGCCCATTTAAATCGGAGCATTTGGTGTTCCATTGTTTTTCTCCATCCCAGAAGTAAACTTGCGTAACGTAGGTATATGTACCTCTATACGTCATCTATCTCTATACGTGTCTGGGGTTTCCGCGGTAGGTGTATATAGGAATATTTAAGTGCCTAATCTAAGATTCGAGCAAAGGTTCGTTTGAGAGTACATATGACCCCTTTTTAAGGGTCATATGTACTCACACACACAGTCCCTCCCTGGAATATAATTTTAAATATGCTAATGGTGCGCGTAAATGGTACCAAGTAAAGATACCATAGATAAAACAAGATTACAGTTGTGTACTATTTGGATATGTTAATAGAGTAAGCTGCGTCGCGATCACAGCCGGAAGAGAATCGTGCCGATGCCGATACCATGGCACACTTCCGATTCCGAGTTAAGCAATTCGGAACTATGTATTGATTGATAATAATTATAGATGCCTATAAAAGAAAGGTGGTAACCGCGACAGACATTAATTAAATTTCCGTATCGTATGTAGGTTGTAGGTAGTAATCAAAGATTACTTCGCCCATGGTACTTACACCTATCTAACTATGAAAGTAATTGATTTATGGAGATGGTCTAAAAAGCATAAGAAAGCTTTGTTAGAGAAAATCTTTTAGGTCAATTTTATAGCACACATACAGTACGGTACTGTAAGTTCAGTATATTTTATTTATTTATAGGTATCTAATATATATATTATTATATATAGGTACTACGTTCACTATTGCGTATCTACATCCTTGCAAAAGAATTTAGGAACATGATGTATCATTTGGCTGACCGTTTTTTGGTACTTTTTGACACTAAGTGCTCCATTTAAACGTATATGATTTAAAACACCACATAAAAATATTATTTATTACAATGATGTGTTACAGTTAATATTTAATCATCAATCATTCATGCTTGCTTGAACCACCAGCATCCATCAACTCCCTTCAATATTTTAATGTCATTGCTCCATCTAATATAATCTAGCATTAAAATTGATACTTTCACATTTATTTTCTATTGAATTTTGCCGTTAAACAAATAAACAAGGAAATATTATCACAGTATAAAAACTTATAATAATTATAAATTACGTACCTCGCCATCTATATATAAAAAAGAGAAAATAATAAAGGTTAGCATAACGACGAAAAAATATAACTATTACTCACTAGATGTCTCTGATGACATTGGTTGTTTAACTACTTAACGACAGAAGGCGTATAATACTTGAAAGGTAATCATCGAGTCAAATTGAGATGTAACGTGGCAAAAAAGTAAGGTCATTCAAGGACATCGCTCTTTTATAATTTTAAATAATAAATTTAAAAGTTAATTAAGAAACAAGTAATAAATCTTGTGTTTTGATATATCTTAAAATTCTATAATTCAATATGTCTATCTATAATGTTGTTTTTTGGTTGGATTAACAATGAACCTTAATAATAAAACAATTTCGTGAAATTTTTGAGTAGCTATCAGACAATATAGTTTAGACTTACCAAGTATAGCTCTCAAGTGTCCCTCTAGAGTTTGCAGTATCGTCATCTTGACTTCTTTAACAGTTTTACCGAGAAATTGTTCGCAGGCGGTGGTCAGCAGCTCGTCTTCATTCATGATCTTACACTGGGCCACTCCGGTGACGGTCAGAGGCACACCTTGGGCAGTTTCGACGTTTTCGCACATTGGGTTCAATGTCATAACCTGTAATAAGATGTTACAAATAAAATAAACAATCTGCTTGCGCATACATATGATACAGAGCCATCAAGTCCCAAATTAAGCAGAACTTATATTACGATTTATAGAAATGCCCTGTATTTTTTTTAAATGACAACGGCTAAGGAAAATATTTTTATGGAGTAAAAATGCAATAGTAATTCCGTCAGTGCTATCGGTATACTACGGCGGCCTACCAATGAATGATGATAGGCGAGGATGAAGTCGGGTCAGTTCAGGGCTATCATGACAAATTAATCAGGAATTAACCACGATGCTTTCTAAAGTGGACTGCGTGGTGATCGATTGGATAGATTATTAAGAGTCCAACATTCCACTGTTGGAAATGAGGTTTCATCAAGCCCACTATTAGAACACTGCTTAGGCAGTTTCGTAAAAGATTTCATTAAGAGAGTAGGTACTCTTGTTGTGGTAAGGGGTACATTTTCATTTAGTCGCCAAAAAAGTCTTAAGAACGACACCTCGCGGATAAAATAGAATGATAATACATTATACACTTTTACTCCATCACCACACGCACCTGGAAACATTCATAATTACATATAACAATTTAAGTGAAATACTTGGAACACGTTTCTAATTCTGAACCTGTTTTTTCTTTCTGTTTTAGGTGAGCTGTTAGTTTACCAATCTATCTTAAATAACAAACTATATCCAATAAAAATCTAAGAAATTGGCAGTTGTTACCTCGAGGGAAATCTTTTGAACGTCAGTGACAAGCCACCAGGCCCATGCCCAGCCACCAACAATTGTTCGCTTCTGCATTGAGCCGCAGCATCCACCTGCAAGAAAATAAATTATTAATTATGTACATTATATTTATTTGGAAAGTAGTCTCATGCCACTTCTACCCTATTTGTGAATATATCATAAAAAAAACTGGTCTTTAGCTGCGGGGGGCAGGGGGGTGTTATGGATGATAATGTAACCCTACCTGCGCTATCGGTATACGTTGGCAGGGCACCAGTGAGAGGTGATAGATGAGAAAGGAAGCAGCTCAGTTAGCCCATCGTGACGAATTCTATTAGAATTAACCACGATGGTTTCCAAAGGGAATCGCGTGGAGGTCGACCTGATAGGGTGGGTCAGTTATACCTCATTACTAACAATCCCTTTCCCTCCAGTATTTACTATTTATTTTATGGGTGATAATGGAATGGTAACTTCGCCTACGCTTTCGGGATACGTTGGAGGGATGACGGGATGACAGGTGAGGATGAAAAGGCAGGTCAGTATGCCCATCGTGACGAATTCCACAAGAATTAACCACGACGGTTTCCAGGAGGAACCGCGTGAAGGTCGACCTGATAGGGTGTATTGCTAGCAATGGGTAAATTAGACCCTATTACTAAGAATCCCTTTTCCCCCAGTATTTACACGTTGTGACGTCTATTGTAAGAGGTCAGTACTTAGTAACAGAAACAAGTAGGTAACAAGTACTTAACACACGAAGCAATGACCTCAGGGAGAACCAGTTTAAGCTCCACCAACTTGTTTACTAACCACAGAGACTTAGTTTAGAGGTGACAAATGCACTATAACAGAATTTAATTATAATCATACCACTTATCTAAATGTTATTTTGCTAATGAAATGTCCTGGCTTTACTGTTTAACATCACATTTTAACTAATTTTTCAACTCATGCAGTGGATGAGCATAAGTGGATGCCACTTACCTACCTATTTAAGAAAAAAAAAATGCACTCCGGGAGTGTCGATAAAAGAGAAAACTTGAACAAGTATCGGTTGCGGTAATGGTATTAGTGTCGCGAGTTCAATGGGTTTTTCTCATCTCAAAAAAAAATGCCCAACGCACCTAAAGAAGTTTTCAGTTCAAAAATTATTTTCAATTTATTTCAACTTTTTTTTATAAATGTGTTTCGATAACTTTGTATAAAAAACGCTCTATAAACTCATCTATGTGGTACTGAATAATGTACGGAGTAACTTTTACTTTCAGTTAGAATTAGAATCTAGTCAACGGAAAGGTACTGATGTATTAGGAGTACAAATAAGTTTCCGCCGTTTTATTGTGGATGGCGCGGCACGGAGTTTCGGTTAGCTTTCGCAGATGATAACCGGCTAAAAAAATAGTTTCGACATTCAAGACCAACATAACCTATTAATATTATTGATTTGATATTGGTAAAATATAATTTTTATAACTTGAAAATGTCAAAATTTGAGCCAAATAAGCGTCATTTGCGGGAAATATTAATTTACTTCTTTAATTTAAAGAAATCTGCTGCTAAGGCGCATCAATTGCTCGTAGAAGCATATGGTGAGGGTGCTTTGAGTGAGAGAACGTGTCGAGAGTGGTTTCAAAAGTTTAAAAACGGTGATTTCGACGTAGAAGACAAAGATCGCAGTGGAAGGCCAAAAATTTACGAGGATGCAGAATTGGAGGAATTATTGGAGGAGGATTCATCTCAAACACAAAAAGAACTTGCTCTAACATTAGAAGTCACTCAGCAAGCAGTCTCACATCGTTTAAAATCATTAGGAATGATTCATAAACAAGGAAATTGGGTTCCGTACGAATTAAAGCCGAGAGATATTGAACGCCGATTATGCTTAAGTGAAATGCTGCTAGCTAGACATAAAAAAAAGGGTTTTTTACATCGTATCGTAACTGGTGATGAGAAGTGGATACATTATGACAATCCAAAAAGAAAAAAATCATGGGGATTACCTGGCCACGCGTCAACATCAACAGCAAAACCGAATATTCACGGAAAAAAACTTATGCTGTGTATTTGGTGGGATCAGCTAGGTGTAGTGTATTATGAGTTGCTTAATCCGAGCGAAACAATTACTGGAGCCCTCTATCGAACACAATTGATGAGATTGAGCCGAGCTCTGAAAGAAAAACGCCCTCAATACTATTCTAGACACGAAAAAATTATTCTTCTGCATGACAATGCTCGTCCACATGTTGCGGCTCCCGTAAAAAAGTACTTGGAAACACTTGATTGGGAAGTGTTACCCCACCCGCCGTATTCACCAGACATTGCACCGTCCGATTATCACCTGTTTCGGTCCATGGCACATGCTCTGACGACGCAGCGGTTTACATCTTATGAGGATACCAAAAATTGGGTTGATTCGTGGATAGCCTCAAAAGACAAAGTTCTTCAGACGTGGAATTCGAATGCTGCCTGAGAGATGGGAAAAAGTGGTTGCAAGTGATGGGCAATATTTTATATAAATCTATATTACCGTTCTTCTATAATAAATATTTAATTTGTGTTAAAAAACGGCGGAAACTTATTTGTACTCCTAATATTAAAAAGGTTTACTCTACATAACATTGCGTAAAGACGAAGAAATAAAAACTCTAACGATAAATGGTAAAAAATTCTATTGTCTATTGTTTTTACAAAAAAAACATTTACAAAATTATAATTTATTTTGTTCACTCTCATAATCACCATCTTCCTGCCATTTATCCTTATTATTTGGAGTCGGCGTAATATGATTTTATAAATTACAAATTATTTAATGTCTAAATTTTATATCTTAGTTTGATAATATATCAATACATCATATAAGACTGACATATTTTAAAGTGGGGAACGAATAAGGTAAAATATTATATACATACAAAGTGACGTCAATGCTCATACATTTCTTTTGAACATCGTTTTTTCGTTTCTTTCTTTCTCGTACAGTACACGACAGTAAAAAAAAAAAAAAAAATTAAACACGTACATACCACAAATAATTAAGACGATATCTACAACTATTGAACCGAATTTGTTAAGATTTCTATGGCCATTATTCAGATTGGTCATCCGTAAGTATAATATTTCAGAAAAACAAAATAATTTTCCAAATTGGTATATAAGTGATGGAGTTCGAGGAAACATAAAAAACAAGCAAATTGAAAATCTGTTTTTTAAGTTAGTTGAAAACCAGTTCAGAATTGACGATGTAATAGCGTAACATAGACAAAAAAAAATACCTGCGGATTCAGATCTTCTTTTGGAAATAAAAAGATAATTTCTTTATTTATAAATATAAGTAAATAAATTAGAAGTGCAATCGACGATAATCGTCTTAATGCGATTCCGTCTACTGTCACGATCACACTTTCGCCAAAACAAATATAAGACATTTTTGTAGAATCTAGCATTTGATTACCGAAAAAGCCGTTCGGGGTGGATTAACTTGTTAGACAGCTTGATAACACTAATTGTTGTTAAAAAGATAAATAATATTGACAATTACTTTAGGATTCCGCACTTTAAGGATTCTCATTTAGTATAGGTATTGATATTAGGAATGTATTAAATTCTGGTATTAAAAAATATTTAAATAATTTTAAAATAAAAACGCTATTAAGGATTAGATTGTCTATTAATGTAACTTTTTGTGTACGTATGTTTAGAGATATATACCTAATTGTGAACAGATTTCGGAAATTAAAGATTACCATTTTATCACTAAAGAGGTTGTTTATTTTGCTGAGCAAAATATAAAATTCTTAATAAAATACATATAATACAAAATTTCAGCTATCCGTTTTGATATGAAGAGAATGACGTCTGTAACAGACAGTGTATGTGGTGGTTGGGGACGGATTGTTAGTAATGGGGACTAGCGGCCCCATTACTAAAAATATTCCCTTTCGATTCTCCGGGTAATCATCAACTAATCTAGTAACAAAAACGGACAGTGTACATAATAAAGTTATTAAAGCTGTGTAGTATATATGTATTAAGTACAACTTCTAAGCTAATCTATATTATAAATACTATCGAGAATAGAATATATGACTTCATTTATATATGGCTTTGGGCTTAAGCTTAAGATCGTATGTTCCTGACATAGAATAGGTCATCCGTTCCTTACCTGTGGGTGTTGTCAGAGGCGACTAAAGGAGGACGAGGGATGGGAAGTAGCGTCTCTCTTAAAACATCTCTAAAGCCTAACTGCGGTTGCCAATCCCTGTCAATCGTGGCGACTACCGGCAAAATCTTAAAAGGGAGAGGCCTATGTTCAGCAGTAAGCAGTTAAAGGCTGACATGGTGATATATGCTTTACCACTTACTAATATGGTATTATATTATTTGACTACTACGGTACTACGGAACCCATTACTTATGCTATACCATTAGATCAACGAGCCGTAAAAATAGCAACTTAAGTGACATAACCAAATGTAATAGAACACTTTCACTGAAAAAAAAGTGTTACGCCATTAAAACAGGATCAGTAGGAAAGAATTGTGCTTTCTTAAATGTCGTTTTCATGCTTTACTAATAATGACAATTATTTGTGTTCATCTATTTTTTTATACAGCTATGATGGCAAACAAGCATACGGCCCGTCTGATGGTAAACGGGGTTACTGCAGCCTATGGACCGCTGTAACATCAGGGATGTCACGCACGCGTTGCCGACCCTAAGAAACCTTAATACGTCCTTTTTTAAAGTACCCCATGCTGTAGTCTCTAGGGAATACCTGGCTAAGATGATCATTCCACAACGTGAGTGTTCGTAGGGGAAGTTCCTATGAAACCGCACTGCGCGGAACCATTCTGGTTCAACTGTGTGAAGATGGATTCCCTGCCGATAGTGGGTGGGACGATGGTGAAAGGTGGCTGTACGCATCATATTGAAGAGTTTTTTAGAACACAATCCGCTATACAATCGGTAGAAGAAGCAAAGTGAAGCAAAGCCAAGCAAAGTCTCGCCTTAAATTAATCTCATCTAATCATCAACACTATTATAAATATTCCAGTTTTTTTCTATGGGAATCGTAATGGCAAGCAAGTTGAAGATGCACCTTGAAGAAAGTCAGTAGTTGTCATCAAAAGATATGTATAGTTCCATGGATATCCCAAAATATATTATGATGTCTATGGTATTTCCTATTCGTTTCCATTCCTCATGACTAACATCTCACGCCTGCGTATAATTGTAATTTTATTGCTATAATCCACCTTTTAACCCGAAATATACACATACAAGCACAACTACTTAGCAACAGACACCAGAGTGGGACAGAGAATCACAAGCAAACGACTTTTTAGATATTAAAACGTTCGTCCAATATTAAGAATTGAAAACTAAATTATGTTTACGACTAATAAATGTATTCGTTAAAGTCATAAGGAAAGTATAAGCAGTTAATGACTCACAAGGAACAAGAAAGTGGAACAGATGCATTATAATGTCTATCCACCTATAAGAATATTAATAATCATAAACCAAGCATACTCGTATATAGAGCTTCGGTATAAGAATCCTGTGATTGTTATAATCTTCTATACAGGCATTTGTTCATGTTTTTATAATTAATAAATAAATAAAATAATTCTTAATCATTATCCTTATCATTAAGTAACATTGTAATCTTGGATTTTGTCCGTAAAAATTATATTAAATGTATGAAATATCCAAACCTTTATCACTACATATGTCTGACGTCAATATTTGATTAAAATGATAGAATTGATCGTTAAAAACAGTTTTTTTTTTAGAAAACGAAAAATGTAAAAATGTTTTGTTTTCTCAAGCATTTTTTTTTATATTTCTCTCCATAATAACCATATTCAGACTTCAACGAATATTTAAAAAGAATAATTACCCAAATTAGCCCAACCGTTCTCGAGTCTTGGACGTAGCAACACATTTAATGATTCCCTTTTATTTCTATTAATAATTCCAAAATATTGAAAAGTATGTATTTACAAATGAAGAGATAATATCAATTTTGTAATAAACAACGAATTTTCAAAAACAAATTATCGGATGACCGTTAAGCGTAGACTAAAAAGATGACAACTCATCACGAATATAAAAACGTCATATGCAAATCATCACAATGTCGACAGGGAATCGGAGAAACGAACAATAGTGAGATCTCGTGAAATAGCTGGTGAAAGTTAGTATTTTTTGGTAGTAGGGCAGCATGTAGGATCAAGGAATCACATGTAACACTATCTTAAATGTAAGGGATCAATGTCAAGGTTTACAGTGGATAGAAAAGTACAAATGTACACAGTATGTTTATATACAATATCAATAAAAAGGTTTGAATACTGAATTTTATTAGACATTGAAGTATAATGTTCTGTAGAGTTTATCATCTTTAGAACAAAATATTGTACTAACTCTATATATATATATATATATATATATATTTAATACTATATATAAAATATATATATATATATATATATATATATATATATATATATATATATATACTTTTGTCCTGCCGTAGATATTTTGTCGCAATATATCCCCATTATCTTATCCCATATATCCAAATTTACTAAAAACTAAGCAGTAATTTCTAGTAAAATAAAAAGTTAAAGAATAACTTTTAGATGACGAATTCAGTGTACTCAGTAAAATAAAGTTATGAAACAAACATGAATTAGATGATTTCATGATTGCATTTTAGGATTTTTGAATCGCAAATTAAGTATTTCATTAATTGACTTCATCTCTTGCTTTTGATTGGCTGTAAAATTAGAGTATTAGTAACAAGGGTACTTTCGTATCAATATAGGAATACCGTATCGTAATTTAAGCAAAAATAAGTTCGTAGATTATATAAATATAATTTTTTTTAACGTCTTTCAGAACCTTAACAAAAAAATTATATGGAACCAACACAGCAGCAAATCTTGTCATTAACAAAAGGAATTATCTAAATAAAAAATACAGATGAATTGAGAAACTCTTCCTTTTCGGCTATGCTTAAAAGTTAATACCTAAACAGCGATGAACGTGATGCAAGTCATGAAAATTATAATTACACAATTTTTTATATAAGTAATTCAAAATATTATGTGACAGGATTTTCTAATTGTGATATCCTCACTAGTCATGTGCAAAATCAGGCTGACTCGATTACCGGGTACTCGGGTACTCTATGTATGGATTTCTGATATACTATACAGAAATCGAATACTTGCGATATTCGAATACTAGGTACATGTTTATCATAATTTTTTTTTTGTTTTATAGTTTTATTAATTTTTCCCTTAATTATATTAAGGCAAAATTATTAAATAGCTGAACATTTATTATTTTTATTATGAAAGTATTTAAAAAAATATTCGAGTCTGGTACAGTACTGAAATACCCAAAAGCACTAAAGTACTTGTTCGAGTTCTCAAACTCGAGTGATTATTCGATTAGAGTACCAAGAGACTCGAATATCAAAAAAAGGCCAACTCGACACATCACTAATCCTCACCAAGTTGGAACTAATATTGGTACTCCCACCATTTCACCAGACAGTCTACGTGACGAGTTTGGGTTCGTTACTCGATGAAAGTGGCCGTCGCGAGCTAGTATTCACTTGTGATACAACTATACTGTATCGAAACTTTAAGTGAGATAAACAAGCGAAGGGTGTAAATACTTTAGAACGAACAGCGAAAGTGATTCAGATGGTATTCTATATAAGTGAAATCGAAAACATTCCAATTATATTATGTGTCTGCTTTTGTACGGTTTTGGCGAAAATATAAATTAGAAAAGGTGAGTGTAGTACTAACCGGTATTTCTACACAATATACGAATATTTCATGAACATGTGTGTTTTGTTAGAAAATATGTTTTCTAATATTATCACTTAATTATTAGTTATTGCGAAGAAATACAGAAAAACAGTTATTTATAACATATCAATATGTACATACACCATCATATATTTAAACAATATTTGGTCCCCTGTTTTAAATTAAATTTTTTCTATTGTAATAGTAATTTAATGATAAAAAAATTACATGAAAGACTTTCTTATTTAATTTGTAAGCATAATATTTCTCCCGATTCAGATAGATTATAAGTATTAGTAGTACCTTGAGATTGGGATCAATTTTGCGTAAGAGTGAAGCGAAGTCGCGATTTACTCACTTGTATACTAATTAATTGATGGAAACGGTTGTTTATATTAGGAGTAGATAATTCGGAATTTAGATTAGAAAAGATTAAGACAGAAACGAAAATTGTGGAAATACATTCCACGTATCAAAGGTATCATGGGATATTGCTCTGTATTTTGTAAATTTTAATGATGCTGTTTTGTTTATAGACAAAGTTTTTTATTAATTGTATTCTTCATCAGATGGGTCACCAGCTTGTTGGACCTTCCAAGACGCAAAAATAACGATAAATATCTTCTGCTATACAGAAGTCAATTACAGGAGTCTTAAAAGAATACAACACATGTCCTTAATATGTGTCTTATAATAGCTGTAAGCAGGAACATAGTAGAGTTATGTATGCCTTGCTTGGAAGTAGCAAAGGCATAGTTAAAGAACATGTCTTTCGATATATTGGTAAACAACCATAATATTTATTCTGTCTATTGGCAAACGGTAAACTTTATGCTCGATTGCAAATTGTAAAATATGCAGCTATTACGTAGCAGGATTGCTTTCCGATCGCTAGATGGGCTAGATGCCCTTCTAGCAAATAGTAGTAGCGATCAAATCGCAATAGACAAAACTTCATTTCCTTAATCGTTCTGAAGAAGCAACACCAACGTAATTGCTGTTCGCTCGCAAATCGCTTATAGGTAATTCAAGACATGTCATAAATAAAAATCAATAGCAATTATCGAACCATTTTTGCAAAATTATTGCAGGATATACAATCAGGAAACCGTTATCATAATTTATCGATGCCTGCAACACCAAGAGTGTCAATGATTCACAATTTTGAAAACGAAAAGCTTTTATTATAACACAATAAATTTAAACTTTCATAGTAATGTTTACTTGTCATCATTAACTTAATCAGAATTCCATTAGTACACCATTTTAATTACGTTATGACTGTATTACGCAATATGTTGTTTTCACCGGAACTTTGTTGGAAGCTGGTACAGTTGCGTAGATCTATCTACAATACGTATGAATGCCAGTGACGGATTACTTAGATGCATGTGCTCATTTAAAGTGAATCTGCTTAAAAAGTACTAAGTACTTATCAATCTTTCAGAACACTTTTAGCAAGCCTACAATTCAAAATCTATAAAAGTATAGTTTAAGATAACAATTAGTTTCTTTAAAAAAATAATTTACAGAAGTTACACTTAAATAGTACTACTACTGCTCAGTTTCACTTTCTGGTATCAAAAGTTTCCAGATCCTATCGACTTTCTGACTTGAACTTGAAAGACTTTCTACAAGTGATATTTGAAGTGCTGTCTAAAGCACGAAGAAGGTGATAATCATAGAAAAATTCTATGCTGCTTTTCTATTCTAATAATAATTCTATGCTGTTTTTCTGCTATTTCAGTGAAGACATTAATGATATATTAAAAACTATTATCTCGTTGAAAACTTTCGCATTTATAATATTAATAAGATTATAGAAAACAATTAGAGTGTTTCTGAATACAGAATTATGACATTATAACATTTCATCTCATTGTCAAATAATTTAAAGGGATAAAGTAATTGAAACACGAAGACGAATAATGTTTGAGATTTAACAACTAAAATGCGTTAAAATGTATATAAATGTCATAGTTACGCTAATTGAGCGTCACACGCGTTTCATTTTCGGCGCGCTTCTAATCCATATATCTACCTTTTTCTTTAATTATAATAATATTGGATTATATTATTATTATGCTCTTAAGAGTCTCTCCTGTATGCCCTATATTTATGGACTGTAATTTAGTTACAAAAACCACAAATAACGTATAGCCAATAGTCTGTTAGTAATCCGTCCCTGTACGCATTTGGTCATGGATGAACGCACCACGTAAATAGACTTTCTACAAAATCTAAATAACTGTGAAAACATTAAAATATCGAAGCTATTTATAAATATATTAAATGTGGAATTCGTGTTTATAGTTACGTATTAGGTATAACAGTATTTCTGACTCATTGTTATCTGTATTATAGATAAAATAAAAAAAACTATGATCATATTAAAAAAAGAATTAATAAATAAAGAGTTAATAATAAAAAAGCTTTTTGTTTTTATTAAAAAACAAAAAGCTTGGAAATATGAAAAATAAAATGCTCGAACAATTTATTCTACAAATTGTTCGGATTTTGTTTTACATACCACTTAGCTTCTTCAAGCTAAGTATAATATGAACATAAAATAAGATTAAAAATAAATCACTGACTGACTCAAATGTACACGTATAATCGATTGTTGATTAGTTATTAAAATATATAAAAGAGCGTTAAGGTGATAATGGCGATAAAAAAACGTACGTAACTATAATATCAACGTAAAGAAAAAAAAAAAAAAAAACATAAAAGATATGTATTATTGAAACCCGTAAGGAAAAGTTTAACAAGACAGTCGTGTCTCCAAAAGTGTGCCACAAAAACAGGCGACCGTTAATACATACAAAGCGACAGTGCGCGTGCGACGGTACGCGTACAACCGTACGTCATGTTATACAGGCGAGCAATCCGCACGCAAACACCGACATTTTAACGGTACATTACACCAGGTACATTCCTATTCCTGGTGATAACTAGATCAATGGATTACTGTTTTTATTAATATTAATTTTATAAAATAAGTCGGGACTGATTTTTCTGATTGCCAAACAATTCTTTGCAAGTCTGCTATGACAGTGGAATTATTCGAAACGGAAGCATGAGAAGGAGTCAAAATGTTATATTCTTATTCCTTAGAAATAATAATGCATGTATAGGTGTCATATTGTAATGAACATACATACATATATCTAATGTATACTATAGATGTAAAAACCATGTTGTCACGTGTGATCCCGGCATAGAAATAGGTCATCTTTTTTACCGTGGTTGTTATAAGAGGCTATTAGTCGTAAGTGAACTTAATGGTCGAGGAGAAACCAGCAGTGTCCTTTTTAAAACATCACTAAAAGCCTAGCTGCTGTTGCCAACCTGCTTGCCAAGCGTGGCCATTACTGGTAAAACCCCACTTTATGGGGGGCCTATCTTCAGCAGTTAACGTCTGATACAATAAGATAAGACGATAGTAAAAACAGACTATCCTTTCCTAATAGAAAGATAATCGTACCCTGTAGTGGGACATTAAGGGGTTAGTATTGTTGGATGGAATTTAGAAAGACAAATAAAACTATGGTTCCTCTGATGAAAAGTAGTAACGGTCACATATAAACATAAATAGCATTAAAAGTATCACAGAATTCAATGTGAGGGCTGTGATGTTTTTGACTAGTGCGTTGTTTTGTTATTAATATATTGGTTACACAAAGCTTCCAATCCATCCAAAATAGATGAATTACAGAAGATTGAAGGAAACAAAAAAATAAAAACGTTGTGATGATCTATTGGTTACAGGTGGCAATATGAGCTCGATTGTGAACGTGGCGGCTGATGTGATATCTGGTTCAGCGATCGCAGCCGCAGGTACGCAGGTAATTACACGGTCAATGGCGATTGTTATAACAATTGACATTTTCTTTATGTTTAAAATAAACCAGCTTGAATGAAAACTCTTAGTTTGAGACTGTGTTTCACAAAAAAACCTTTAACTGTGGCAAAATCAGTTACTTTAATTCAAAAAAGAAATTCCTCAACCTATTAAAAGATGCTAGATTTTAATAAAGAAGGAAATACTTAATTTTTGTATACATCAAAATCTGTACTTAATTTTAAAAGTTTTCTAAAATTGAAGAGTTTTTTTATGGGTAAAGATTTTTGATTTTTATTAATGGAAAAGGGAGAGGTCGATAATTTCGTGTGTATTATTGTGGATATATTACGCGATTGTGTCGCTAATTTTGAATCGAATTTCAAAATATTTCTGGAATCGATAGGCTTCGTCCTCTACCAATTCTCATATTAATTTTGTAATGATTGTAGATTTATTATTTTATTTTTTAATCTTTTAATGAGAAAGCATCACAACGACCAGTTTTGAGATAAATTGAAATAGTTTGTTTGCTGAAGAATTGAATAAAAGATGATGCTTTCATGCTTGCTTAAACAGATATTTATTACAAAAGACAAATATTGCATAGTGTCCGAAAAGAAAAATCCTGCATCCGGGAGTCAGGAACTCTTTGACTTATTCTTAGCTCTCGAAGCTCTCTAGCTTCGAAGATCTTAGCAAGTCAGTATATAATTTAGTACTTTTATAACTATCATTTATACCTATAATAAATACATAAATATTTCATATTTTATTTCAGGTAGCATGGTTCATCCCTATGTTGTTGGCTGCTATAGCGTACTACCAATACGACCAGACTGATCCAGAAGGTCGACCAGCAGATGTGTCCGATACAGAGATGTTGCCAGAGTATGACTTCGTCATAGTGGGAGCAGGTTCTGCTGGTCAGTGAGTACATGGTCTCGTTGAAGTTATATACTATTTAGCGGCCCGCCACATCTTCGCACGTTTTCTTTTAACAAGAAATACACTATATGTTACTCGCTGATAATGTATCTATCTACTAGTTAAAGATATTTTAAGACCGATTAAATAGTTTTGATTTATCCATTACAAAAAAAAAAATCAAATTTATCTCTTTGTAATATTATTTCTGATATACATAATACGAGTATAATCCTAACTAAAATCCTTATGGTAGAATCATAAAAAATGAGTATTCAAAAATGCTTGTAATTAAATTTACTTAAATAAAATCTTTATATTATTATTGTATTACTAATATTTTTTTATGAAATATTGAATGGGAAACAAGTTGATGGTACACTTGATAAAATCTGATATCCGTCGTTTATAAACATGAATAATACTCCTCATGCGGTGCTATTCCTGAGGGGGAACTGTAAAAATGTAAAAAAAAAACGCACGTATGTAGCTAGATATATCTGCGAAATTTCATCCGCATTCTAGGGTGGGCACCAGACAAAGTAGCAATTGCATACTGTATTCTAGTGATACATAGAAGATATTTTGATTTTATATATTTTATTATTCCAGGTGCCGTGGTGGCGAATCGTTTGTCAGAAATCGGGAATTGGAGAGTGTTATTGCTGGAAGCGGGTGGAGATGAGACGGAAATATCTGACGTACCTCTCTTAGCTGGATATCTGCAGCTCAGTAAGCTGGACTGGAAATATAAAACTGAGCCGTCGGGAACAACTTGTTTAGGTAAATTTACATAATATTTTTAGTAGAATTAGACGTAATGAAAACCACATAATGTTAAATATTAAAAATATATACAATACTAGCTGAAAATTCGAACGCTGTTTTGCTTCCTACTGCCATCTACTGGGTTAATTTTTCTTATAGGCATGAAATCTCTCTTTTTTTTTTTAATTGAAGCAATCAATACCTATTTACAAAATTTCACCAAATTTTATAATAATGTGATTTAATATAAAAAGAAACATAGAAGTGATCATTGTGAACTTATAAATTGAACGAGCTTTAAAATCACGCACTGCGTGGCACGCAGACACTTATGAATTGTTAAAATTAAGCAGGAATCTGTTTCTTAAATTGCATTATATTTAAAAGTTTAAAAGTCATGCGTAAATATTAGAATATCGAATACAATCATTCATTCATGAATACATATTCAATCAAATTACTTTTCTGCTACCGCTTGATAGATGGCGTACGCAACACCTTACAGTGATTATACTTTGATTGACTGTGATTAATAAATTTTATAAATAGTCGATTAATTTTTTTCGCGAAAGTTATTCATGATAAAATAATATACTAATTCAAACTCTTTTTCTTAATTCCAGCAATGGAAGGAGGTCGTTGCAATTGGCCTCGTGGGAAAGTCCTCGGTGGCAGTTCAGTTTTGAACTACATGTTATACTTGAGAGGAAATAGAAAAGATTATGATATTTGGGAGTCCATGGGCAACAAGGGTTGGGGTTATCAAGATGTATTATATTATTTTAAAAAATCTGAAGATAACAAAAACCCATACTTAGCACAAACCCCGTATCACAGTACTGGAGGCTATTTAACAGTCGCTGAAGCTCCTTATCATACTCCATTGGTGTCTAGTTTTATCGAAGCAGGTTTAGAAATGGGATATATGAATAGAGATATTAATGGAGAAAACCATACTGGATTTATGGTTGCTCAAGGCACTCTTCGTCGCGGAGGCAGATGTTCTACGTCAAAAGCATTTCTTAGACCAGCCAAGGACCGTAAAAACCTTCACATTGCTATGCACAGTCACGTAACAAAAGTACTAATAGATCCCAGAACGAAAATTGCTTTTGGAGTAGAATTTGTACGTAATAAAATGATCTATCGAATCAGGACGCGGAAAGAAGTTATATTATCGGCCGGAACCATTAATTCAGCTCAATTACTTATGCTGTCAGGTATTGGTCCAGCAGAAGAATTAACAAAACATCATATACCAATAATACAAAATTTGAGAGTTGGCAAGAACTTACAAGATCATATTGGATTAGGAGGATTAGCTTTCATGGTTAACAAAAAAATTTCAATTGTAGAACACAGACTTCACACAGTGAGCACTTTGATGGAATATGCGGTATTAGGCGAAGGTCCTTTAACCATTATGGGAGGAGTTGAAGGTTTAGCGTTTGTTAATACTAAATACGTTAATGCATCTGATGATTTCCCAGACATAGAATTCCACTTTATCTCTGGCTCTACAAATTCTGATGGAGGTGAACAGTTACGAAAAGTGCATGGATTGTCCGATCAGTTTTACGACGCCGTATTTCGACCAATAAATAACATGGATGTCTGGAGCATCATACCAATGTTGTTGCGCCCAAGAAGTAAAGGCTACATACAGTTACGTAGCGCAAATCCCTATGACTATCCCTATATATATCCGAATTATTTAACAGATGAAATGGATGTTAAAACATTGATTGAAGGCGTCAAAATTGCTGTAGCCGTATCCCGAACCAAAGCATTCCAGAGGTATGGTTCTGTACTGAACAAGCATGTGTTTCCAGCATGTGCGACAATACAAAAGTATACTGATGCGTTTTGGGAGTGTATGATCCGGCAGTATACTTGTACGATATACCATCCAGTGGGGACAGCTAAAATGGGACCGTATTGGGACCCAGAGGCTGTCGTAGATCCCGAATTGAGGGTTTACGGTGTGAAAGGCTTAAGAGTCATTGATGGCAGCATTATGCCTACATTAGTAAGTGGTAACACGAATGCTCCGATAATCATGATTGGAGAAAAGGGGAGTGATATGATCAAGGAGTTCTGGTTGAAAAGAAGAAGATCTAGATATTACCTGTGACGTTAATGTACAAAGTATTCCGTTGAATGTTCATATCAGTATTATATTGTAAATAGTTAATTTATTCATGTTAGTTGGTATATTTATTTATTTAATAGTGATAGTGTAAATAAAGACGACATTTGTTAATGCCGGACTCGCAATATTACTAACATTTGAAATTCAATACTGAAGAGGAGTAATTTTTTGTGGAAGAAAATGAAAAAAATGCTGTGATTATATTCGTGATTAGGCTCAATTTTGTACAAATTGATTGTTTTTTTTTTTTTTTATTTCACGCCATATATGTTGGATTAGTAAGGTAGCAAATGCATATGTGGCCCTCCTTAAAAAAATCTATTACTAACTTTGTGGCCGGCAACACTTGGTTAATTAGTAATCGGCTATAAATTTTCTATATATACTCCGTACTAATTCTGAGCTACTCCACTTTGACTAATTTCTATCATATATTTATTTAGCCGAAGTCTATAATTGGGAAGCTTACAAATGAAAAATATCGCTAACGCCCCACCTCACTTAACAATTGATAGCAATTCATTGTAATTGTATTAAAGAAATAAATAGTTTAATTAAAACCTTTTTTTATTCATAGCCGCTACAGATAAAATTCTAAAAATTACATTTTAAAGAATTTATCATAAAGAAACTCTAGGTTTAGTTGTCTCGTCACAAATCTTATATCTCTGTTGTTTCCACGGGAATTGGTAGAAAATTTATCGTAAGTATTATAGAAAAAAAACAAAGATTATCTATTAGTGAAATTATTTATATATTTTATGAATAATTCAGTAGTACGCAGTACTCAAACATACGAACATATATTACTATTACTACTAATTTGCCTGAAATATGTATGTAATATGTAATTAAGTATATAACAATTAAAATATTTTATACTGGGCAAAGAGGCAGCCAGTTCATTGAATAGTTTCGATCGTTCTTCGTAGGTACATAATAGAAAATATAGCGCAGCCAATACTACTTTTCTTGAGATTTCTTGAATAATGTATTCAAGAGTAACCGAAAAACAAAAACATTGTTTCGATTATTATTATACTTCTTTATTAAAGAATGTAATAGTTTTCGTCATACAATGGCAAGTCAATATTTACATTACAGTTTTTAATTTTTAGTTTCTTCATAATACAAATAGATACAGATAATAGAAAATAGTATAATTTATCTTGGCTGTGTTTCGGTTTGAAGGATTGGATATGGCGTGAATTTACAAGGTACAGAGGAATAACACCTGAGTCCTCAGGAATGGCAACGCATAAAGGCCCTAGGTGGTGCTTGCAACCCCACAACAGTTGTATAAAAAAAATACTGGGATTATATTTACTATATGTAATAAGTATCTTGGTCCTTTGGAATGGTTCTGCATGATGAGTACCATGGGTGTCACAGTGTAAACAGTGATGGCCATACTTTTATTCTGTGCTATCTATAAGTGATAATTACCGCCTAATTAGTTCATAATCTAAGGCAGCAACACAATACACTTCTAAATTGTTTTATTTAAAAAAAAATTCATCGCAAATTTGATATTAAGGTCATCGACACAATGATATTACATGCATAGGTACCTGTGGTAAATTGTCGACTCAGTATTTATATTACATAGAGTAATGTAGGTATAGAGGAGTATTGAATAATACATAATATATTATTAATAACAATCTTGTGATTTTTATTATAAAAATTCAGTAATGATTATAATTCTAAATTATCTTCTGATATTATTGTGGTAAAATGTAACACATTTTGATACATATTGTTACATAGCAGACTACGAGCTTGTCTAATTAACGCTATCAAAAATTCGACCTGAAAAATATGGAAGCAAAGTGAGAGTAAATCTAAAGATTACAAAAGAAATTATCAAAATCAGCTCGAGTGATTAAAAATTACAGATCAATTAAAAGTGAAATTTCCTTGTCTTTAAAGACTTAAAAATGTTGTCGGATCATTTTTCTGTTAAATATTTTGGAGTTATTATGTTAGTAGAGAATATGAGTGTTATTAATTAATTTCTTTGCATTACACAGCACATTAATGTGTAATTATATTAAAATTGTAATATAGTTAGGAACATTTTTGTTTCTTGGACGTAACACAATTTGGATATCAACTTTTCGATACTCGTATTGATTGGGCGATACGATTGGGCGACTATCAATTTAAAAGTTTTTTATTCTTATACACCTGTTTCAAATATTTCCACACTCGTCTCACTTCTTAATTTTTCCCACAGGCCAGTTTATGTAAGATTGTGTCATATTAATATGTTGAGATACATCACAATGGAAGTACTCTGTGTACTGCATAATACAATACGACATAACTCGATTGGGTGCACAATAACTTGCTCAACCAATTTGCTGATTTAGACGTCATTCAATTAATTTATATATCAATCTTAACATTCATCGTCCGGTTTTATACTGAAAACATGTCGACATACGGGCAAATGTCAATTAGGCCGATTTTATCTAATACCAGAATTATGTTCGGGTTGTTACCAGGTCTCGGAGCTATGATTGTACTCCGAATGGCCATACATATATACAGACCGGACATAGAAGATGCAGAGCATCGTGTGAGAGATCATCCATTCGAACATCTTTACGACTGTTACGATTTCATTATAGTTGGAGGTGGTTCAGCGGGTGCAGTGTTGGCTAACAGACTTACAGAAAATCCCGAATGGACCGTCCTATTATTAGAAGCCGGACAAGATGAGAACGTGCTCTCCGAGTTGCCCGTTTTATTTCCCGTGTTACAAACATCCTCGATAGACTGGCAGTTTGTTACTGAACCTGGTGATGAATATTGTTTAAGCATGGTGGATAAGAGATGCAAGTGGCCCCGCGGAAAAGTGTTAGGTGGTTCTAGTGTATTAAACGCTATGTTGTATATTAGAGGTAATAGACGTGACTACGACAATTGGGCCAGCATGGGTAATACTGGTTGGTCTTTCAGTGATGTGTTACCTTATTTTTTAAAGTCTGAAGATATGCGTATACCAGAGTACCAGGACAGCCCATTCCATTCTACTGGAGGTCCCTTAACGATCGAATATTTCAAATACGAGCAACCAATTACTCGAAAGATTTTAGAAGCTGGTCAGCAGCTTGGATATAATATTTTGGATGTAAATGGAGCATATCAGACCGGATTCACCCGCTCACATGCAACTGTTCGCGATGGTCTTCGATGTAGTACAGCGAAAGCATTTTTAAGACCTGCAGGAAAGAGGCTTAATTTACACGTTAGCATGCACTCATTGGTGGAAAAAGTTTTAATAGACGAACATAAAAAGGCGTATGGAGTGCAATTTACCAAACATGGTCAGCATCGTATTGTGAAAGCTAGCAAAGAAGTTATATTGTCTGCTGGAGCTATACAGTCACCACAACTTCTAATGCTCTCAGGAATAGGAGACGCCAGACATTTGAAAGAAAATGGTATTTATCCAATTGTCGACCTACCTGGAGTAGGTAAAAATCTCCAAGATCATGTTGCAATGGGTGGGCACTCTTTTCTTTTTGATAATCCTTATGATAACGGAACGGACTACTGCTTTAATTTAATTAATGCCTACATGTTAAATACTTTGATAGATTTCGCAGTCCATAAGAAAGGCTATTTATACAGCATGATGGAAGCTGAAGCTATGGCATTTGTAAACACAAAGTTCCAAGATGCCACTGAAGATTATCCAGATATTCAACTTTTCATTGCTCCAACAGCAGATAATATGGATGGGGGATGGTTTGGAAAAAGAGCTAATGGTCTAACAGATGAGACTTATGCTGAATTGTATGAAGACATTTTGTACGACTCGTCGTTTTCTATAGTTCCTTTGCTTTTGAGGCCTAGAAGTCGTGGTTTCTTAAAACTTAGAGATGCAAATCCATATTCGCCGCCTCTAATATATCCGAACTATTATTCAGATCCACAAGACATGAAAGTAATGGTGAGTTTTTCTGTTCATTTTATTTTAACCTAAATAAATTTCTTTCATTGAAATTAATTCCCAAAGAGGGTTGACGTCAGGCAGGCGGCCGGTCGTAAAACTAAAAGTCAAATCTTTTTGTAATATGGATAAAAACATATTACGCCGACCCCAAATAATAATTGTGATAAGGGTAGGAAGATGATGATTTTATCGAAATTAATACGAATTCATTCTATAATAAGTAAGGGCCGAAAAATATGTACATCGAGATTTTTTAAGTAAATTAGAATAAGAAGAGGTTTTTTCAAGAGACTACAGCATGGGGTTTTTCAAAAGGGGGATAAAGAGGTTTTTTCATAGTCGGCAACGCGTGCGTAATACTCCTATTATTGCAGGCGTTCATAGGCTACGGTAACCGCTTACCATCAGGTGGGCCGTATGCTTGTTTGCCACCTCAGTGGTATAAAAAAAGAGAGCCCAAAGTAAGCATCGAAACCGAAATAAGTTGTTTTTAGATTTAGGTTTGTCCGTTAGTCATGACAATAACGTTTAACGAATTTCAACGAAATTTTAAAATCGAGTAAGTATTATAAAAACATACCTATATTTATTATCATAAGTAGAGCAAATTATGATATCACATGAGTCACATATAACGTAACAGTGTATATTCATCTACACTAATATGATAAAGTTAAAGGGCTTGTTTGAACACGCCTATCTCTGAAACTACAAGTTAGATTTGAAATTCTCTTCACATTTGATAGCTCATTTTTTACACTATTCAACATCACGATACAACCACAGACGAAGCAGCGTGACATAGCTATTTAGTTAAAATTAAAATAAATTAATATTATAATATAGTATATTTAGTTAATACAAGACAATGTATTTAATTTCACCTACCATGTTAATAAAGTTATTTATTTATTTATTTGTAAAAAGACAGACTTATTATTATTTATTTATTATGGGGAATTTTAAATTGCATTATTATAGGTAGAAGGTGCACGTATAGTCCAAGCAATAGTTGAACAACCAGCTCTTCGGAAACTTAACGCGCGACCAAATCCAAACAGAAACCCAGGATGTGCAGACTTCGATCTAATGTCCCAGGAGCATTTGGAATGTCAGGCGAGGCATCACACGCTCACTATATATCATCCAGTCGGTACTTGTGCTATGGGACCAGTGAACATACCAGAGAGTGTCGTCGACCCACGACTGAGGGTAAGAAACTATTTATATATATTAGTTTAGGTAATAAAGTTGAAAAAGCAAAAATTGGCTAAAAACGTATACGTGTCGTGCATTTTTGATTGATTATATTATTTTTTCTATTCGTGTTTTACGATAATTTTGATATTTGTAAATTAATTTTGATGATTATAGTTTAAAACTTTCATGACCGTTTCATCTTAATTTGCTAAAATTAAATATATGCACATCTACAATTATGTTTAGGTATTTTCACATAAATATATAAGCAAGTGTTAGTTTTGTTTTTCAAAATAATATTAACTATAGGCTTTTTAAATAATATAAATACAAGAATTGGTGGAAAAACATATTTAATTTAACCTAAAGTTCTGAACATATATGTTCTATCCATCCTATAAGTATCCTAAATCCTAAATCCTATAAAGACCTAATCCTTATCCTTTTCAAATTCGCTTGAGATAGGTATTTTTAATATTATTGCCGGTTCCCCGTTTTGTTTGTTTTGGCAAAATACCCTAATACTTAATTGACATTCACCTTAAACCTAAAAAAAAAGCCCACTGATTGAAATAAAAATTATAATAAATATGATTTTAATTCCATATAAATTCAGACTGTCACATATATACATTTACATAACACGCACACTAATGTAACAACTTTCTTGTGTTTTCTGTCTGTCTGTCAGTACTTTAGGTTCAAGTTATACTACGTCTATGCTTTATATACCGTTTTATACTAGTAAAACCTCAGGATTCAGCTATTCTGGGAAATCAGGCAATTAATTATAATATTTTTTTTTTATCTTACAGGTTTATGGAATAAGTAATCTGAGAGTGGTAGATGGGAGCATCATGCCAACGATTGTAAGTGGTAATACGAATGCTCCTATCATTATGATAGCCGAAAAAGCTTCAGACATGATCAAAGAAGATTGGAGTGATGTTGCAGATTATGGAAATAGTTGTCCACCCATTTATAACGGCAGACAGCACCAGGAAAACAAGGAGAGCGATGAACCAAGCAAAATAAATCTAAATCATATAGATTTAGACGTATTCAGTGAGACATCAAACATTTTTCCGCATTTACCAACAGATAAATTTGAAGTTAAAGCAACAAAATTAAAAAAAGGCAACATTGATAGCAAACCACATTTAATATCTCGCGAATATGAAGCTAAATATAAAGAAATTATCCCGATACACAAATCGAAAGATCTAAAACCACCTTATGGTCCTGAATTTCAACAAAATCATATCAATCCCAACTTCCTCCCTGGAAATATACCGTATTATCTTACACCATACCCTTATTGGAATATCCCTCAATATTCGGACAGATACAATTGGTTGCCTCAAGGAAATTATGGGCAATATCCTAAGCAAAACCCATATCAATTTAATGTTATGAATCGCTCAAGACCCAACTTGAAACAGAAGAAAAGACCCTACACACTTCCTGCAAATCATAAATTAACACCAGTTCAAAATTATCCTTACAGAGTAGATCAAACTCCACTGTTTTATGAAACTGAAAATATTTCAACGCCAAAAGGCCAGAAATGTAAAGCTTGGTTATACTACAATGGAATAAAATATGAAATTGTATTATGAATTGTATAATTAATGTAAATTATTGCTAAATTGTTATTATTTATGTAACTGTTAATTAAATACTTGTAAATCGGATATTATATTTCCTTTCCTGCATAAAAAAAAATATATGAATCCATGATATACATCCCAAATAGAGTGTGTAAGTAATATTTTAATCTCACTAATGTATAAGTACAGAATACTTAATACATAAAGTACTTATGTAGTTAAACCATTCTTTAGAAACGAGGTAGGAGATTAATGCATCAACAGTATATGAGTAGATATTTACGAGAATTTGTTCAGAAAAAAAAAATATTGATTATGTTGATTTTGGAAAAATATTTAGCCTCACTGGTAGAATTTACCTTAAAAGGATAATAATGGTATGGGTTACTCTCTGTATAACATATATAATCTGGGTCAGAAGTTATTTATAAAAGTGGAGTACAAAAATCTGAAGTTCAATGTACGTAGGATGACTTGGACGCATTCGATCGGTACAGTGAATAATTCTGAGTTCTCGAGGTTACGGAAGAGCGTTAACAATATAGGCAGCTAGTATTTAATACTCCCTATGATTTGCATATTGCATCACAGGGTCGACCTTGTTGTCAATACAGAGATAGGCATGGCATTACGAAATATTTGTCAGTGTTTGTCATTGTACTAAAAGAGATGTCAAAAAAGTTTAACAAAGTGTGACATAATGTGGAAATTAGTAAATTATGCTAAATGTACGAACTAGCGATCGAATCCGACTCTGGCCGAGTACATATATATAAAACTTTTTTTACTTGATGTAATATATAATAATTATAATATAACGCCAAATATCGTACTCTTCGTATTTCTAAAAATTTTAAATTTGATTGGTAGATAATATCATATAATGTTTTTTTTTTACAACACATGGGGCAAACGAGCATGCGGCTCACCTGATGGTAAGTGACTACCGCTGCCCATGGTCACCCGCAACACCAACGGCATTGCAGGTGTGGTGCCGGCCTTTTTTTAAAAAGGAATATGCTCTTTTCTTGAAGGTTATGTTGTCGTATTTCGGAAATACTGCTTTTGCTGGAAGTTGATTCCAAAGAGTGGTTGTGCTGGGAGAAAGTGCCTTGAAATTATAAAAAACGCACGGTGGAGGACCACCACTCGTCCAGATGTTTCATCTCTTACGTGATAATTATCTAGTTGTATTAAAAAATTTAATGAATGAATTACAATATCTATTATAATAATTTAATAGTGGGCCATAAAAACCGACTTTAATTGTGACAAAACTAAACCTTTAGATAAAAAAGGAATTTCCCAATTTGTTTACAACTGACGTATTTATGAGGTAACAAACATAAAAAAAAAACAACCGAGTTTGAGAATCTTCTTTTATTTGAAATCGGTTGAAAAAAAAGTTTTTCATTGCTTCTAATTAATATAAGCTCGGTTATGTGATAAATCAACTGTTTTCAATTCATATAATTCACATACAAAGCATAATATTTTAATATTCCTTTTGTTTATGAATAAGCGAAAGGCTATTAATTTGTTTTTATAGCTGTCTACAAGAAACGTAATACCTAGTAAAAAATAAAAAGTTTGTAAATACAACTGTAAACAATTTGAAACATTAATTTACATAAATAAAATGGAAATTATAAAAGACACTAGCAATCGTGTGTTGACTAGAGTTTGTGTTTAGAGATTAAGGATCACGGAAGGTATGTAGGTGCCAGTGTAATAATATTATACTAGTTAGATTATATTATTATAATATTGTTTTAATAAGATAATTACTATAATTATATTCTATTATAGTTATTGTAATTATACAACTTTCTTTCTTTTACAATCGATTGATTATTAAAGATCGAGTCCCATAGAAAAGAAAAAGATTTCAATTGTGACAAAACCAGTAATTTTGATCTATAAACTAAACACATTTTGATATTTTTTTTATCTACTGTAAGTACATCCTTTCAGATAAAAAAGAATATTCGAAATCGGTTTAGAACTGAAGGAGTTTTCTTTCTCTCTTCGTCCTCTTCATTACTGAAGGTCGTGTCCTTGAAAGGTGTCTGTTGCTTCTCTTATGATGTTATTCCATTTTGCACGGCCTTCAGCTTCTCGCAGAGCAGCTGCAATTGACAGTCCCGTAACGGTGGTTACTTGGTCCGACCATCGATTAGGCGATCGATGGAGGATCTGAAGGAGTTATGAAATAACAAACAAAAAGAATTGCACTGAATTAAGAATCTCCTTTTCGAAGTCGGTTGAAAATGATGTTAAACTTTTTCACGTATAAGTGCAATAGTAATGTAGGTATCCATTACCGTAAAACTACTAGTGCAATAAATGATACAGTGCACCTTAGCTCTCAGGATTGATGCTCCCATGCGTAAACGCTTCCGTGGGTATTGCTCGTATAGTGTGATATGTGATGTGCATGGCGTTATACTTGTTATAGGTGAAAGTAAGCATTTTCTATCAACTGTAGGGCCCAGACGTAATGTAGCAATAATAACCTCTTGCCATTAAGAGGTTCCAACCGGGCCTTATACACGGGAATTGAGTTTTCAAAAATCTTTAGAAGTAACTTTAATTGACTTACTTAAAAAAATCTTCTAACAAACATGTTTTAATTGTTTGCGCATTTTGTCATTTGCACTGTGTTAATTAACAAAATACATTCCTTAAAACTAATGTTAGTATTCATTAATATGACAGTAGAAAAATTTTATTCTTCTAAAAAAAATTTTATTGCTAATTTACACTACAAAAATAATTATTATTGTAATTATACAACTTTCTTTCTTTTACAATCGATTGATTATTAAAGATCGAGTCCCATAGAAAAGAAAAAGATTTCAATTGTGACAAAACCAGTAATTTTGATCTATAAACTATTTGAATTTACTGGGTACAGAGGAATAACACCTGAGTCCTCAGGAATGGCAACGCATGGGGGGTATCATGGGCGAAACAGTATACTCTATTATGTCCATGGTACTGCTCATGTCAGAATATAGGCGACGGTTACTACTTTCCATCAGGTGGGCCGTCAGCTTGTTTGCCATTCAAAGTTCTATAAAAAAAAAAAAAAAAAAAAAAAAAAAAAATATTTTCGAAAAAAAAAAGAACACTGTGTGTGTACTAAAATATTATCTTTATTCTTTATCATCTTTATTAGAGCAAGTATTAAAATCCATATTCGTAATTTCCACTTAAAAAATAGAAAAGGCAAAGTGGGGTCGATTCGGAGGCACCATTTCTTTCAACCTATCTCTTAACGTAATATTTTATTTGATAATTTCGAGAAATTTCTGTTTCGTGGACCTATGGGATAAATTAAATTTATAATAATTTTGAACCTTAAATCTATTAGAAATTATGATTCATATTGGTCCTTAGAATAAAGATTTCGTTGTAATATTAAATCGAAATTTTAAACATAGGTTTTACTCTCTCTTATTACTCTAATGGCAACTTAGATTTGACCCTGGTGTCTTATTTCTGTGTAAGCGTGTATTAAATACAAATATAAATGTCTCTATTGTGGGACATAGGTCAGGTTAAGGCATTACATCAATGAAATAGTATCTCCATGTCCTGTTACATCAGCATACAATATGTTATATGAAACAATTATAAATCAACTACATGCATTATTTAACAATAGACCGAACATAACATTACAAAATTATATAGTAAAACAAAACAAATTAAAATGAGACAATATTTTCGACTAATGGTTAATTTATTTATGTTTATCATTAATATATTAATTTGAATTATAGTAATATTTATTAATTATCATATTATGAAGGATCTTTTTTAATTTAAAAAACACTTGTTTTAGTTAAATCTCGTATATGTTTAGGCAATTTATTATAAATTAATGAAGCTTTCGAAATATACTATCTTTCATAAGTTTTGTTTTATATGGCACTACATATAATTGGTCAGTACGCCGCGCCCTAATACGAAATTAAAATTTTTCAATGTTAGTTTTTACAAAATTGGCACACTTATAAATATACGAACAAGGAACTGTTAATAATTTTAATTGTTTAAAATATGGCATGCATGTGTCTCGCATTCGCAAATTACAAATGATTCTTATGCAATGTTTTTGATATTAAAAAAAATATATATTTATCAGTAGAGTTTCCCCAAAACATACCTCAATAAAGAGCCTACACGTGTATGAGACTTTATTAAAAATGAAATAAATAAGGCAACACTTATTTCAGACATAGAAACGTTACAGAGTACAATTTGAGTATTGCATTACTCGTATTGTCAGATGACTTACTAGTGACCCCTGCTTACACTTGTCGCGTATGCCAGAAGTTGACTGTTGCACAAATATTGTAGAGATACAGGCTTTCAAAATAACCCTAAAATGTTTATTACCTCAAGTAATATACATATATCTATATGTGTGATAATACCTAAGAATACAAATGGCGAATTTAACACAATTTTCTACTATTCTACTAATGGAAAACAGACTAACAGCTGACAATGAAAGTTACTTATTGTGTGTTACCATAGAACTGCTATGAGGGGGTATGCATTATGAAATAGCAACAGAATGACGTCATTGAGTAAACGAATAAATAAAAATATATTTCCTTATTGGCGACGTATAACAGAATAATGGTAAACATAGCTATTTATCTATTCTGAACGGGCAATGTGAACATAATGCTTAATTATTATTTATTTTTTGCATTAAAAAAAATTAAAATGATGCTAAATACAGAAAACTCGATTTGTATCAATCTATAGTTAAAATTTATAGAGAAACTATGAGTTTTAAAATTAAACAATTGATTAGACATCATCAATCAAACATCAACTCAATAATTGTAATATTAATTCATACTTTCTTGTGAAATGTTATTGCAGATTATTTTAATTGTGATAAACAAATAAAAAACAATGTAGTTTGTTTTTAATATATAAATTACATATCTACTCGTATATTGAAAAATTCACTATATATTTCATGCTTTATCTTAAAATACAAATTTCAATCGAATATCCAATTTTATTCGAATAATAGCGTATAATATCGTTTGACTTTCGATTGTCAAATTATTGGCGTCATCCAAAAATAAAAGCACACGCAAAGCAAGGCAAAAAATATTCCCAATCTTCCTCACACTTTCGTGTTTTGCTCATTGTAACTATTACTGTCATTGCGTCTCATTGTATCACTGCAGATACTATCCTTCACCTATGTAAGTTACTTAATACAATACACAGAAAACAAGGATAAAAGATATGCAGATCAAGAATCTTGAATCAATCGTCTGATTACATTAGATCATGATTACTGATCAGAGATAAAATACTTTATATACAATGTAAGTAAAAGGATGGCCTTTTGCCTTTCATTTTAGTTACTTCAGCCTGACTAAAATTCTATCTATGTTTTCAGTACCTACCAATAACTAAAGAATAATATAGTATAGGTACTAGTATAGCACTATATTATCTGTGGTATGCATGAATTGTTTCGCCACGTCGTTTCGCAAACGCCGAACATCGGAAAACGGCGCGGTCCATGCTCGTTTGCACGTAGATCCGTCTGAGCAAATTTTGCTTATCGGTATTTTAATAAATTTCACATCCTATGATTCATATTTCCTTTTCTACAACTGGTAAATAATACAAATGTTACAACTGTTTATTTAAATTATTTTTGTAGGTACATTAGTTCTATACAGGATGAATCGAAATTATTTACTTCCTTTAAAAAAAAGCATCTTACTAGTTGAAGTAAAAATTTTGAACATAAAAAAATTACAAAACATTTTAGCTTCAAATACACAATAGTACAGCATCTTTTTGTCGTTTTTCGGCCAAATATTTTTATGGAAGAACATATTATCTAGGCTAGTTACAAAACTAATACCTGTTTAGTGAGATTTATACAAGAATTTATAAAAGTCATGTACATTACTATAATATAATACTGTTTGTCACTGATCATTACCTCATCGCCGCTTACCACACCCTAGACACTTCATACAAAAACGGCGGGATACTACTACATGAACAGATGATGTGCGTACACTTACAACAAACACATATGTATTATGCACATACACATTTTGCAAGTTTACTTTTGATCTATGACTTGAGTTCGTTGCATTCTTTTTTCAAACCGAACCGTTGAATCATGTGAAGAAAGTAAGATCAGCTTTAGAGAGGGACAGGAAATGCCCATACTATACAGATTTGTAGCAATTTACGAGGGAAAATCACACATAATTTTTTTACTTATTATGATTCTTAAATAGTATATTTAATTTAATTATTCAATTTTCATATATTAATACATTTGAATAGTTATATTGTTTATTTTAATAGTCTATTATTATTTATCAATTTGTCTATAAATGTTGATAAATTTTCTTAAAACTTTTTTATTTCAATTTCTGGTGACTCTCTGATCTACCATGTCCTACCTACGACTATTCTAGTTGTAGGGATGTAACTACTTTGAAATAAACAAAAATACAATTATTATGTTGTTAAAGAGTTGAAATACAAAAGAGTACAATAGACCTCTATGTTCACAGCAAAGCATTTCTTACCATAGTCTTCTTTTATGTAGTTATTTGTTGCGTATAGTAAATTTAAAATTGTTATCTATAATCGGAAACTCTTTATTTACTGCAATCAAAACATTTGAATAGTAAACTTTATGTCCCTGTAACATAATGGTATAGTTGAGCAATGAGGTCGGAGATAAGAATTAGACATTTGGGAACTGCAAATTGTTATAGAAATATTACTAAAGCATAACAATGATATTATAATAATTTTGCTATTAATGTTAGCTCTTTTTTTACACTGTATTGGAGTATAATTTTATATTTTAATAATATTACCACAGTATAATGAACTATCCTTACACCATGATATTACTATAATAACGAAAGTTTGTGTCCCACAACAAAAAACCGACTTCTATTGACTAAACCAGTTATTTTGATTTAAAAACTGAAATATTGATCCGACTTTGGTAAAATTCCCATGACACCAATTTGTAAATATATCCTTTCAGATAACAAAAGAATTTCCCAAATCGAAATCGAGAACTTTATTCTTTTTGGAGTCGGTTGATAAATAATATATTTCGTTCAAATAATTCATTCCTAACAATTTTTATTACAAAAAAAAGTTAAATTTATCGGTGATATAGCTATAAACTAACCTTCGCATTTAAAATTTGTATAATAATTACCGTAAACAAGTTTTTTTTTTTAATTATTTATATAATAAAATTTATTATGTAAACTTTTTAAATTATTATTTAAAAATTATTTATTTTAAAGATTGATTTTATCAATAAAGCCTTTTATTAATTCTATATATGTGATATTGTTATTTTTAACTAAAGGTAATATACATATATAGTGCAAATGAAGTAGATTTCTGTTTATCTATCATGTTTTCTCTTTCATAACATAACAACTACTATCTCATTTTATCGTTTTAAAACTTTAAAGTAAATTATCCTTAAAGAATAAATAGTACATTGCGAATTAACATTGACCGCTCTCTAAACTCCGATCGTGGAAACTCTGTACAACTCCTGCGCAGTCTTAAACTCGCCGTGAGCGCGCGCGCAAGTTTTGAATTTCCACGTGGTGTGCCGGTGGATACAGTGATTTATGGGTGTGCATCAGGTGGGTTGATCGATATTTTCGATAAGTAATATGTGAGAGTGGATGTATAATTAAAATAGTTAATTTAATTGTCTATATAAGTAACCCAGTGCAGAATTGACGCCATTATCATCTTTAATGTTGCAATTACAAATTATAGAGACCTAAATGTAAGTACTAAATTAAAATGCTAATTGTATTACAAATATTTTACTAATCGTAAATAGTTTTTGGCTTCTATCATGGTAAAATAATATCAAGAGAAAAAAAAGAGAGAATAAACAATTGATAGACATGAAATAGATACAAAAAATAAATTAGATGAATTGATAATCTCCTCCCTTTGGATGTCGCTTATAAATGTTATCATGTGAATAACTCGATTTGTCGTAAGAATTTCCCAGCCTCAATACCATAGATTGTACCATTGTACTAGGTACAATAGATAATATTATCAATTTAAGATTTAGTTTAAAAAATACCTTGATCTTAATAAAATTAGAATAATTAGACCACAATCTGGATAAGGCTGACAAGCATGAGAGAAACTCTGTCAACTGCAAAAAAAAATATGGAATAATTTCCATAATACTTTTTGCAGTGATGTGCATATACAGAAAAAATAAAACAGTACAAAAAAACTTTACCACGATGTTTTTTTTTAAGCAGCAAGTTAACGGCCCACTTAATGAAAAGTGGTAACAAACGCTTATAGACATGAACAGTAGTGGTAATTCTGTTTTCCTACATGAAATGAAAAGAGAAAACATTGGAGTGTCTACAAGTTATACAAAAAAGCGAAAATATTTTGAATATTTATTATTATCATCATTATTATACATTATTAATAGGCAAGTTAATCATAAGATTGATTTGTAATTAGCAATAATGAGCATATTTTGCTAAGTATATTTTGTAATAGTACAAAGCAATTTAACAGCATAATATGGAATTTATGTTTGTGGCATTACTCGTAGGTAATCCATTATTTCTTGTTCCTGTGGGAATCCTGAATAACCTTTTTCTCGTTCATATACACTAATATAGGAACTGTCGCTAAGGAATCTTATCTCTCTTGCTGCTTTATCATGATCATCTAAATAATAAAGACCATTCTAAATCACTTTATGCAAAGGGTTAAACCGTATCTCATATTTCGCATAGTCGATTCTGGTAAACTATATTTAAATTTGTACTAGTGTCTATCTGACACGGAGACGGAACAAGGAGATTTAGATCAGTACCAAAATAAAAATTTATTTATTTGTATTCAATCAGTTGAGCTCCTGTGACAAATTCAGGAAGAATTGACTACGATATTTTCCAGGGGGAACCATGTGGACGTTGACCTAATATTGATATTGCAAGAAGTGGATCTGTTAGATCCCATTACTAATCTCTTTCCCCCTAATGTCTTCTTAATCAGGCATATATAATTTGCAGAAGGAACTTCCAGAACCATTTATGACGTTTTTGTGTGCCAAGTTCTAGGTAATTTAAGTCAAGACCGGTTGTCAAGCCTATTTCTCAACCGATTGCTTTTCCATGCGATTTTAGCGCGGTCGGATCTATTTATTATTATGTATATAGCTGTGTAAATATATGTTGTTAGAATCTAGTCTATGTAGATTTCAAGGCGAATCTAACTACAGCCTTAATAAAAATCCAACGAATCGTTGAGACTACAACTTCTGTCCAAGATTCGGACATACATACAAGTACATTCGCTATAACCACATACTTATTTTAACAAATAGATGAACAAAAAAAAATGTATGTAAATAAAATGTAATTATGTATTATCAAAACCCTTTTATTATTTATTTTTCTTATACCTTTTGAGGTACGCAACCCTGAAATGTTGGATGCTTCGTGATTACCATAACGAGTTTTGTCAGTATTGCAACACCATTTTCCCCTTACGAAGGAAACTTGAAGCCGTTCCTTATTAACACTTTACTTTTAAATTGCCCTATGAAGATTTATCAGCAGAATTATTTAATTTCGGTATTTTTAATCCTGTAGTTTGTAATCGATAAATAAGAATTAGGAGATTCCTAATCGAATTATGTATTTTATAAGTTACAAGATTTATAAAATAGAAAGGACTTACTCCCTCGTGTATTATACTATATACTTAGTTTATCAAGATGAGTGTTTTTTCTTGCGATCACTATTTCATATATAGAATAAACTAGAAAGGAATGGTGTTCATACAGTTTAGTTAATATTTTCAGCTTTTTATTATAACATAAAAATGAAAATGATTTGATGCTTATTAGATTGTTGTCCTTTGGCAAGAAATATCGAGAAAGGAATTTTATGCCATTTAACTGTTAAATCAAGGTTCGTATAACATAATATAGTTATTTTTTATGTATTACTTTTTTTAAATATTAATTGGCAGCTAGGAATAGTTTGTACAGGAAAAAGAGAAACGGGATTTTTACATTTTCTCAAGCAATCTTTCTCTTCTTAAGAACCTTTTTCGCACTTCACGAAATATTTAAAAATTATTTGAATTGGTGTAGTTGTTCTCGAATTAAAGCAAGTTTTGCAATTACCATTGGAAAATTATTTAAGTATATAGATTGATTTTGTCGTAAATAATATTGAATCTGTGCACAATCGTATTTATATGATTATAAACTGAAATATCTCAGCTCAAATACGATTTAGCTACATGCTCACATTAAGATTGTTAATTTTTCAAAATATACTAATACCAGAACGCTAAAATCAAATATTCTCGAAAACGACGCCTACTTTACCCATATTCCTGTGAATACTTATATAATCTATTTCAATAAAATAAAACGAAAATAAAAACAATATTTTATCGAAATTATCACATAAATACTTTCTAAATGAAATAAGTAACAAGTAGAAATATACAATCAATATTTTTTTTTATTTATACTATGTACTACTTATTAGACATTAGTAGACTGACAGTCTACTAATAATAAAATAGTCAACAACAATCTATGACATCTATACGGACGGACCAATTATTTATTTATATACATTTTAAGTTCTAATACCGAAAGAGTTATATCTTATATTCTTCACATATTAATTTTGTTACAATTTTGACGTTTTTATTGTTTATTTAAATAGTATTTAAATGCACATCAATGGCATAATTACATAGTTAAAGAGTTTACACGTTTATAGATACGAAATGAGTACCTATTTTCCGCGTTGTGATTTTTGTCAAGTGCGATTGCAACACAAGTTCAGGAGTTCCATACGTCGCAACCGACGGTCAGCATTTTGCACAATATTTACATTGATACTAGTACATCGCAATAAAATCGACTGTGTGCTAATTAAAAAATAAATATTTGTTTAAACATATTTCTCTGATGACATCATGACTGATGAGTAGTATTGTAAAACTTTTTTTTTATGATGATGCTGTCGATTGTTTGCATGATATTTTAAGCGACAATCCATGGCCCCTGATGGATTGTCGCTTATATATCATATATCATGGACGAAATAGTTACTACTGTACTATACTCTGTTATGTCCATGGTACTGCTCATGTCTATAGGCGACGATTACCACTTTCCATCTGGTGGGCTGTCAGCTTGTTTGCCATTCTAAGTTGCATAAAAAATAAAGAAATGACTTCAAAGGTTCACAAATTTGGATTTATTTTTATGGACCACAATCCCAATTTTTAATATAGTTAATTACAAACTACCTTTTGTCCGCTATTTTGTAGGCGTGGAATTTGAAGGTGGAAATAGACCAATTCTAGATGACGTATTAAGACAAAATGCAACGGATTTTAAGTTTTGACCTCCAACAATACAACTGTTAAAAAAACATTCAGTTTGATGCTGTATTTTTTTTACTGATGCCGTAACAAACAGGCAAAAATTCTAAAATTACTGATGTCGTTTCTATTGCATTTATAATAAACTTTTATATAAATTTTCTTCATAAATGCTGTAGTATAGTCCTACAGAGATCTTAGTTAATTATATATATATATATATATATAAATATAAAATCTTGTGAGGATGTTTGATGACTATGAAACAACCATAAAAAAGAATCTAATGTTATTCTCTACAAATCCTTCTTCGCTTTAAACGACTTGCTATGCGCTTAAATGCATCCATGATGCAGTGAAAGTCAGTCGGTAGGTAGATACTTTATGACGAAATACCATATACAATATTATGAATGAAGTCAGTAACGTACTATATGCGTGCACCTACATATATCTTCTAATATACGAGTATACTATATGTATATATATCCTATCTTTAAACGACGTTAAATAAAAACTACTTTTCGTAGTAATATTTATGTCTATACATTTATACATAAAATAAAACTGGTCGAATGTTTGCACATAGAAAAAAAAAACGCTAAACACCTAGTCAGAGGGATGTTAGAAGTCAAATTGAACGCATTCAGATTTTTCCAAATTTTTTGTTCCTTGTTTGTCTGTTTGTACGGGCTAATCTCCGAAATTGTTGGACCGATTTAAATGGTTATTTTTTCTAATTCCATTTATTCGGGATCGTAGTAATATATTGAGACGTGGTTTATTGATTACATAGTATATAACCCGCAATGGCTACTAGTGCCCTTTACTAACAATCCCTTCTCCCCATCTGGAGGGGATATTAGCGCCAGACTTCGTATTACCTAGATGCATTATGTAATTGCATTGTAATAACATTCAATAGTGTTTTAGAGTTCATTCGACTAAGGACATTTATGGCATCTTCATACTAATTGAGTATTCAGGTACTTGGGCAGTCGTTCTTTATATATGTATATATTTAAGAAAAATATATTTTTTCTCGTCTATATAAAAGTAAAAAAAAAATTGAAAAATTGCAAGTTGGAATCGATATTGCCAAAATATAGGTATTCTATATGACCTATCTTCGTCAACTTCATTGATATCCTAGTACTGGATTCTCTCACCTTAAAAGAAGTATAATATAAATTGCTAACTAACATTGGTCAGGCTGATTGGTATACCAAACCTACAGGATTTTATATCGATTTGTACTTCTCATAGACTGGCATGTTATTTTTTTAGTCGTTTCTTATGACCTTGTGTGGATATTTAAGATTGTATTCCATAATAAAAAAAGCTAGTTCAATTGTGACAAAACTAGTTATTTTCATTTAAAAT